AATAATTTTCTTTTGAAAATCTTTTCTGAGAATTTTCATTTGAATTTTGAAATTTTTTGAAAAACAAATGAATTTCTAATCAATGATGGGAGAATCGTGTGAGAAATTTAATTGAAAAAGAAATGAGCATGAGCTGTGACCTGGAAGGAAAGAAAATTCTTGGCCATGAAAATTCTTTTCTATAACAACGTGAAACTCAAGGCTTGGTTGGTCGAATTTTGAATTCAATGGTGGCACCATTGGAATACAAAATGCACGAAATTTCAGAATTTCTAAAGAAAATTCATTTGGAATTTGAGCCATGTATGGCCTGCATGAGCTGTGACCTGGAAAGAAAAGAAAAATTCTTGGCCACGAAAATGCTTTTCTGTAGCAACATGAGGTGAAATTGAAGGCTTTGTTGGTTGAATTTCAATGGTGGCACAATCGGATTACAAAATGCATGAAATTTCCAATTTTCTAAAGAAAAATTGTTCTGAAGTTGAGCCATATATGGCCTGCATTACTCCTGATCCCCCTGTAGACTTGCAGTATCTCCTGCTTTCTTCCCTGCCGTGAGTTCAAAAGCAGCTGTAGCAGCAAAAGGTCCACCCTGCCATCCCTCCTACCCTCAGCAATGCTGCAATTATTAGCAGGAGAGGAGTCCACTCAGGATGCTAAGTGGTGTAGCCGCGGTCCAGACAGCACTGTCACTCGGTCTGTGTCCAGACCGCGGTTTGCCATTTAGTGACGCCTGCTTCAAAATAAACCCCTTTTCCTTTCCCACATTAGCTACATAAAAGTTTATGTAGAGAGCTGAAGGGTGGGATGGAGAAGCTGGACCTGCACAGACTGTAATTAGACACTCTTCGAGGAGGTTAGGGCTATGATGTACATGGAGGGAGGGGGCTGAGCTAGCAAATTGACTCTTCCTGGAGTAGTCAAATTTTGTAGCCAGTTCAAAAGCACACCCTGCAAGTGAATACAGAATTGTTTATGGAAAAGAAAAAACAGTGCAAGTAAGCATTTAAATTACTTGTTTGTGCTTGTATCTGCATTCTTTTCCATTGGTGACAGGCTCTCTTTAAAATGCTGAGTCTCAGGGTCAAGCCATGCCTATTCAATACCCAGACTAAGGTCTAGATTTGCTATGTGTTGTGTAAGGTCATTTTCTGTATGATATTGTGCAAAAACATGAATTCTTGGTACCTGTGTAAACAATTCCTCTGAAAACTTCTTTTTATTGACTGACGCTGCTTTTCGGAGGATTTTCTTTGGCTCGTTCATGTTTTCCTTTAGTTAAAAGCCATCTGGGAGATTCTGGGAGAATCCTGCAAGAGTGTAATTTTAGAAGTTGGGAACAATAAACTGCATGCTCCAAAAATGTTCTTACATTTGGGGCAGGTGGGAAATGTCCCGCAGACAGGCCTCAGCCTGAGGGGAAACCTCAGATAGGCCTGCAGAGGAAAGTTTCAGGAGATGGCAGGCTGCCTAGAATTACATGATCTAATCACACATCTTTCTCAAGTAAGCATTAAAATGTATGGATAACCAAAACTTTTTTTTTCTTAGTTTTGGATAGAGAGAGGAATGGCTAAAGCCAATCAGTTTGTGAGTTTTCCCTTCACTTCTTGTCTCTGAGACCTCTAGTCTTGGGCAGGCTATAGATTATGCGATTTTCTTTCCTGTAACCACAGGTTGAAGAAAAGAAAATCACTCAATTCCTCCATCAACACAGTTAGAATTCCTGCCGCGGAGCTATTGTATTCTTCTGGTGGGGACATGGGAGTCCACCCCTGCCAGGAGAACACAATGATTATTGCTAGTGGGCTATAGCTGCTGTAGTGTTTTGTAAGGGTCTTTACTAATCCCCATAGTCTAGAAAAACATATAAGAGGGCTAAAGCTGAACTCCAGCCTTACCTTCACTTGTACAAGTTACTCTTCTGAACTGAAATGACTTACTGCACATTGTAAATTTTCACAGTGTGCATTAGAAGCTGCAGCAAATCAAAAAAAGCTTGCCTCATTTCCTGGCAGAAGGATGTCCAGCAGCATGTACTTTATTCCTCAGCAGCCTAACTGTCCCTGGCCCTCCCCTTTCATTTATTGGATTTCAATCATGGAGTATCCTGCTGGCCACTCCCACCAACACTAATATGCCTGCATTGCATAGAGAGGCACAGAGACCCATTGATGAATCTAAAATATAAGTAAAAAACCTGTTATTTAAAAAAAAAAAAAAACATCTACAACATGGACACAAAAAAGATGAGTTCCATTCAACCCTTATTCTATTAAAAAAGCAGTTTTATTTCTGACTTGCTGTTGTAGATTTTTATCTCACTTCCTCGCAGATCAAACCTTTATCACCAGGACAGGAACTGAAGGGAAATGTCTCTAATGTAGCCACAAATAGCAGTGAAAACCTGACAGAGGTTCTAACTCTTCCCTACTCTAGTCAAAACTACAATAAACTTTGGCTTAACATACACTTGAATGTACCTTATGCAGTATAATGTGTTAAAGGGTAAGTTTGCCTTTTAAAAAATAAATAAATGCACATAAGTGAATACTTATGTACATGTGTTTTTTTCGTTTTTTATTTTAATAAATTGCAAAGATTTAAAAATGAACTTTTTTTCACGTTGTCATTTTTTTGGGTATTGTTTGTAGAATGTTGAGGAAAAAAATGAATTTAATCCATTTTGAAATAAGGCTGTAACATAAGAAAATGTGGCAAAAGTTAAGTGCTGTGAATACTTTCTGGATGTACTGTACATGATACTCACCAGATGTAGAAAAATAAAAGGGCAGTTGGGGCTGAGCAAACTATCTGCAACAACCTCCAGTTCCTGATGCCATAACCAAATCCTGCCAAAACCATCTGTCCAACTGCAAAACAAACATGGCCACTGATGGTGGCGTAGGCACGTTGTGACGATCCCACCCACTCAGCAACTGAAATAAAAATTATTTAAATGAAAAAGTTATCACACATTTTCTTTTTGCTTTAACAATATTGTACACAATTACAAGAATGGCCAGAGCAAAAAAAAAAAACAGACATTCCAAACTTGTTTAGAGGTTCACAATGTATATTGCTGTTCTCTTTTGGATTAACATAATTGAAAATAAGTGAATCACTTGTCATACTGCAGTCTCCTAAGTGATGTATAAAACACCATTATGGGAGTCTGGGAGTCTTTTATTTATGATAAGAGGATTGCATGGGATGGTAACCCCTCCATATCACTACACATAAGGCCCCAATCAAATAGGGAAATTCCTTTTTTATTGCTTTAAAATAAACAACATATATTAGAAGGTGACTAACTCAACTATAAAGTAACAAGTCTCATGCCAATTACCTAACACAAGATTGTTGATCAGGACCCCCGACATGGCCATTCCCACAACGCACCGCAAGGCTGTATAGATGTAAAAATCTGACACAAACGCTGCTCCAACACCAAACGCCATCATCAATAACATTGAGATCAATATGACCGGACGTCTCCCAATCCTTTAAAACAAAGCATTACTTATTCCAAAAATATTGACGTTTTTTAAGCGATTTTTGTCTACAAAATTATTAGAGGCATATTGGACATGAGACCAACTTTGGAGCTGAAACTCTAGAAGCAATGTGAATCCCTGAAATAGAGAACTGAAAATCATATTAATGTATCCAATATACAGGGCTGGATTTACCCTTAGGCACAGCAAGCCTTCGCCTATGGGGCACAGAGACAAAGAGGCAGCTCTTTACTTTAGGCCTCGCTCACACAGGTGTACTAAAAGTGTTACTAAACCCACAACAGTAAAATCAGTCTGTGTATGCAGTAAAGCATGCTTGTTATACTCACTGTGGAGCCTAAGGGGGTAATCCTTCACACTGTGTAAAAAAGATGTTTGATACGGTCTTCTCAGATTCTCCCCTTCTTCTACTGTCCCCAATCTATCTGCTGATAGAACAGAGCCTTGGGGGCAGGCTGCACATGCTCAGTTTGGTGTGTATTGCTAGAGAGTTTTTTTTTCTTGGGAGAGTGCATGTGATCAGCACAGGGCTAATCAGCACTGTCCAGACAGAGCAGGGGTGGCGAACACGCGGCTCTCGAGCTGCATGCGGCTCCCAGCCAAAATGAATGCGGCTCTTTGCTCTTACTTCTTTGATCTTACCTGTTCCTCTATCCAGCGGCGCGCTGTCTTCCGGCTTCTGTAGTGTGGGCACTGGGCATGACAGCCGGGTGCCAAAGTGCAAGAAGCGGTGCTTTTTGTGAATGGTTAAGGCGGTACCTGGGACACATGACAGATCCAGAAGCCGCCGGACCAATCACAAAGTACAAGTGCTTCTCGCTCATGCGCACTGGGCACCCGGCTGTCATGCCGAGCACCATTACAGAAGCCGGGAAGACAGCGCGCGGCTGGATCGAGGAACAGGTAAGATCAAACAAAAACTCTGCGGAAGTAAGAGCGGGTACCTGTCAAATTCAGGTACCCGCTCCCCACCTCCCCAAAGGTCAGCAGTCATCTGTACTGTCCGCAGTCTCTGGTCATCCCTGTGCTGTCCGCAGTCTCTCTGGTCATCCCTGTGCTGTCCGCAGTCTCTTGGTCATCCCTGTGCTGTCCGCAGTCTCTGGTCATCCCTGTGTTTTGTAAGGGAAGAAAGTGTTATGGTGAATAATATGGTTTTAATTATGTGTTTTTTGTGTGAGTGTTTGTCTGTTTTGGCAGGTCACTGCGTGGTGTGGCTCTCTGACTTTCACAGTTTAAAATTTTGGCTCTTTGTGTCTAACTTGTTCGCCACCCCTGAGACAGAGGGTCAGGGGGGGGGCAACCTCATAGGACAATCAGGGGAGAATGAAAACTCCTCCTACAAGGATGGTTTCACAGTTTGGGGGAGCGCAAGCAAAATGTGACAGTCACATTTCTGCCATGTGATGGGAATTTCGATTCGAGTCGAATAAATTCGCTGTGAATTTAACTTAAAAAAGGGTGTTTCTAGGCTTCAGAGAGACTTAATATTAGTGCAGAACACTGTACCTTTAATTTAAATGCCCTTGGAGTCTGCTGGGGAAGAGAAATAATACTGTCAGTCAGTATGACATGCAGATGAGTGCCGTCGATCTTAGAAATCACCGCACACTTCACTCATTTGGGCAGTCACGGGGCCAAAACCAGAGTGTGGAGCCACAGTGTGGCGGTGGAGGCAGCAGCAATGGGAGGCCATACAGCACCTATGACAAAAATGGAAACCACCAGCAGTGTGAGGAGACCTGAAAGTGGCACATGGCAGAGTGTGGCGATAGAGACAGCAGCAATGGGAGGCCGTACAGGGACCATGACACACTCTGGACCTGGCAGCAGCATGAGGAGGCGGTACAGGGGCCCATGACAGATTACGGGCCTGGCAGCAGCATGAGGAGTCGGTACAGGGGCCCATGGCAGATTACGGGCCTGGCAGCAGCAATGGGAGGCCGTACAGGGACCCATGACACACTCTGGACCTGGCAGCAGCATGGGGAGGCGGTACAGGGGCCCATGACAGATTACGGGCCTGGCAGCAGCATGAGGAGTCGGTACGGGGGCCCATGACACACTCTGGACCTGGCAGCAGCATGAGGAGGCGGTACAGGGGCGCATGACAGATTACGAGCCTGGCAGCAGCAACTTGGACAGGAGGACGTTCAGCTTCTGCACCGTCGGGTGCGTGCTCGCAAACTGTTGTCTCTTGGAAACGGATTCCAGAAAGACTGCTGACGGAATCCGTGAAGAGGAGTGTAGCAGGAGAAGGAGCATCTGAACGAGCGGAATATGCCAACAAGCGACAACAGTGGCCCATGACAGATTACGGGCCTGGCAGCAGCATGAGGAGTCGGTACGGGGGCCCATGGCAGATTACGGGCCTGGCAGCAGCTATGGGAGGCCCGTAATCTGCCAGCACCCTATGACAAAAAATGGAACCCACCAGCAGTGTGAGGAGACCTGAAAGTGGCACATGGCAGAGTGTGGCGATGGAGACAGCAGCAATGGGAGGCCGTACAGGGACCCATGAGAGACTCTGGACCTGGCAGCAGCAGCATGAGGAGGCGGTATAGGGGCCCATGGCAGATTAGGGGCCTGGCAGCAGCTATGGGAGGCCCGTAATCTGCCAGCACCCTATGACAAAAAATGGAACACACCAGCAGTGTGAGGAGACCTGAAAGTGGCACATGGCAGAGTGTGGCGATGGAGGCAGCAGCAATGGGAGGGAGGACCGTACAGGGACCCATGAGAGAGACTCTGGACTTGGCAGCAGCATGAGGAGGCGGTATAGGGGCCCATGGCAGATTAGGGGCCTGGCAGCAGCTATGGGAGGCCCGTAATCTGCCAGCACCCTATGACAAAAAATGGAACACACCAGCAGTGTGAGGAGACCTGAAAAAGTGGCACATGTTTGGGGCATGATTCATGGCGGATTTAGTCAGTTGTGTCAGGAACTGGTGGTTTGAAATCCAGACTAATCCAGCGCTGATTCATTTTCACAAACGTGAGTCTCTCCACACTTTGGGTGGACAGTCGTGTCCTCCGCGGAGTTGCAATACCTCCTGCCGCACTAAACACGCGCTCCGATGCCACGCTACTGGCCCGGGCATGACAGCCTTTCAAGGGCAAATTCAGCTAGTTGGGGCCAAAGGTCAAGTTTCGTTGCCCAGTAGTCAAGGGGATTGTCTACCTCGGTTGGCAGGGTGCTGTCCAAAGTAGGCCTAAGCCTGTTGTTTGAGGTCCTGCTCCAGGTCCACCTGATGCTGCTGCTGCTGCTGCGGCAGCGGCTGGTTAGTAGTTTCCTCACTGCGCTGGTGAAGAAAGCTACTCATCATCGACTGCAGACTGAGGCAGCCGCTGCTGGTGGAGCTGCCACTGCTCCTACCACCCCACCCCTCCCCTGCTGCCATGGCAGCGGAACACGAGCGCACAGGGCCCACAGTGTCTGAGGATGGACGTTGGCGCAGACAGGCAGAGACCAGCTGACTACATAGGTGTTTTTTTTTATAGTACGTTATTTTGGCCTCCCTCTCAGCAGGTGTGAAAAAGGCCACCATTTTTGAACGGTAGCGAGGGTCCAACAAGGTGGACAGCCAAAAGTCATCCCTCTGTCTGATGGTTATTATTCGGCTGTCGCTACGCAAGCAAGGAAGGCGAGCATGCTATGGGCCATTTGTGCCAAGGAATGCGAGGGACTCCCTGCCTCCATCTCCACAGCATACTGCCACGGTGCGTCTAGGTCCTCTGTCTCCTCTTCCTCCTCCTCTACCAGATGCTCCTGCTCTCCACTCCTGTCCGCTGAGTGGAAAAACCACCCATTTCACTCAATAATTCTGAGCACCAATGTCCTCTCTACCTCCTCCTCTTCTTCCAGTCCTGCCCCCACAGGGGCCATGTGGCGTTGAGATCTGTGCGCCACGTCTACCGCACCCTGACCAGCCATTGTTAACAGCATTTGTTCCAGGACGTGCAACAGAGGAATGACGTCGTTCATCCCATAGTCCTGCCGACTCACGAATAGCGTGGCCTCCTCAAAGGGCCTGAGCAAGCGCAGGTGTCACGCATGAGCTGCCAATGGCTGACATCTAAGTTACACAGGGAGTACCTTTATCTGCTTTTAACATCAGGAAATCTGTGATGGCCTTTTGCTGTTCGTAAAGGCGGTCTAACATATGTAGGGTTGAATTCCACCTTGTTGCAACGTCACAGCATGAGGAGTCGGTATAGGGGCCCATGGCAGATTAGGGGCCTGGCAGCAGCATTATGGGAGGCCCATAATCTGCCAGCACCCTATGACAAAAAATGGAACACACCAGCAGTGTGAGGAGACCTGAAAGTGGCACATGGCAGAGTGTGGCGATGGAGACAGCAGCAATGGGAGGCCGTACAGGGACCCATGAGAGACTCTGGACTGGCAGCAGCATGAGGAGGCGGTATATAGGGGCCTATGGCAGATTAGGGGCCTGGCAGCAGCTATAGGAGGCCCGTAATCTGCCAGCACCCTATGTCAAAAAATTTAACACACCAGCAGTGTGTGAGGAGACCTGAAAGTGGCACATGGCAGAGTGTGGGCGATGGAGACAGCAGCAATGGGAGGCCGTACAGGGACCCATGATGACAGACTCTGGACTTGGCAGCAGCATGAGGAGGCGGTATATAGGGGGTATATATAGGGGCCCATGGCAGATTAGGGGCCTGGCAGCAGCTATGGAGGCCCGTAATCTGCCAGCACCCTATGTCAAAAAATTTAACACACCAGCAGTGTGAGGAGACCTGAAAGTGGCACATGGCAGCAGTGTGGCGATGGAGACAGCAGCAATGGGAGGCCGTACAGGGACCCATGACAGACTCTGGACTTGGCAGCAGCAGAGGAGGCGGTATATAGGGGCCCATGGCAGATTAGGGGCCTGGCAGCAGCTATGTGAGGCCCGTAATCTGCCTGCACCCTATGTCAAAAAATTAACACACCAGCAGTGTGAAGAGACCTGAAAGTGGCACATGGCAGCAGAGTGTGGCGATGGAGACAGCAGCAATGGGAGGCCGTACAGGGACCCATGAGACTCTGGACTTGGCAGCAGCATGAGGAGGCGGTATATAGGGGCCCATGGCAGATTAGGGGCCTGGCAGCAGCTATGTGAGGCCCGTAATCTGCCAGCACCCTATGTCAAAAAATTAACACACCAGCAGTGTGAAGAGGAGACCTGAAAGTGGCACATGGCAGAGAGTGTGGCGGCGATGGAGACAGCAGCAATGGGAGGCCGTACAGGGACCCATGAGAGACTCTGGACTTGGCAGCAGCATGAGGAGGCGGTATATAGGGGGCCCATGGCAGATTAGGGGCCTGGCAGCAGCTATGTGAGGCCCGTAATCTGCCAGCACCCTATGTCAAAAAATTTAACACACCAGCAGTGTGTGAGGAGAGACCTGAAAGTGGCACATGGCAGCAGAGTGTGGCGATGGAGACAGCAGCAATGGGAGGCCGTACAGGGACCATGACAGACTCTGGACTTGGCAGCAGCATGAGGAGGCGGTATATAGGGGCCCATGGCAGATTAGGGGCCTGGGCAGCAGCTATGTGAGGCCCGTAATCTGCCAGCACCCTATGTCAAAAAATTTAACACACCAGCAGTGTGAAGAGACCTGAAAGTGGCACATGGCAGCAGAGTGTGGCGATGGAGACAGCAGCAATGGGAGGCCGTACAGGGACCCATGACAGACTCTGGACTTGGCAGCAGCATGAGGAGGCGGTATATAGGGGCCCATGGCAGATTAGGGGCCTGGCAGCAGCTATGTGAGGCCCGTAATCTGCCAGCACCCTATGTCAAAAAATTAACACACCAGCAGTGTGAAGAGACCTGAAAGTGGCACATGGCAGCAGAGTGTGGCGATGGAGACAGCAGCAATGGGAGGCCGTACAGGGACCCATGAGACTCTGGACTTGGCAGCAGCAGCATGAGGAGGCGGTATATATAGGGGGCCCATGGCAGATTAGGGGCCTGGCAGCAGCAGCTATGTGAGGCCCGTAATCTGCCTGCACCCTATGTCAAAAAATTTAACACACCAGCAGTGTGAAGAGACCTGAAAGTGGCACATGGCAGCAGTGTGTGGCGATGGAGACAGCAGCAATGGGAGGCCGTACAGGGACCATGAGAGACTCTGGACTTGGCAGCAGCATGAGGAGGCGGTATATATAGGGCCCATGGCAGATTAGGGGCCTGGCAGCAGCTATGTGAGGCCCGTAATCTGCCTGCACCCTATGTCAAAAAATTTAAACACACAGCAGTGTGAAGAGACCTGAAAGTGGCACATGGCAGCAGAGTGTGGCGATGGAGACAGCAGCAATGGGGAGGCCGTACAGGGACCCATGAGAGACTCTGGACTTGGCAGCAGCATGAGGAGGCGGTATATAGGGGCCCATGGCAGATTAGGGGCCTGGCAGCAGCTATGTGAGGCCCGTAATCTGCCTGCCAGCACCCTATGTCAAAAAAATTTAACACACACCAGCAGTGTGAAGAGACCTGAAAGTGGCACATGGCAGCAGAGTGTGGCGATGGAGACAGCAGCAATGGGAGGCCGTAGGGGGACCCATGACAGACTCTGGACTTGGCAGCAGCATGAGGAGGCGGTATATATAGGGGCCCATGGCAGATTAGGGGCCTGGCAGCAGCTATGTGAGGCCCGTAATCTGCCTGCACCCTATGTCAAAAAAATTTAACACACCAGCAGTGTGAAGAGACCTGAAAGTGGCACATGGCAGCAGAGTGTGGCGATGGAGACAGCAGCAATGGGAGGCCGTACAGGGACCCATGAGAGACTCTGGACTTGGCAGCAGCATGAGGAGGCGGCGGTATATAGGGGCCCATGGCAGATTAGGGGCCTGGCAGCAGCTATGTGACCCGTAATCTGCCTGCACCCTATGTCAAAAAATTTAAACACCAGCAGTGTGAAGAGACCTGAAAGTGGCACATGGCAGAGTGTGTGGCGATGGCGATGGAGACAGCAGCAATGGGAGGCCGTACAGGGACCCATGAGAGACTCTGGACTTGGACTTGGCAGCAGCATGAGGAGGCGGTATATAGGGGCCCATGGCAGATTAGGGGCCTGGCAGCAGCTATGTGAGGCCCGTAATCTGCCTGCACCCTATGTCAAAAAATTTAACACACACCAGCAGTGTGAAGAGACCTGAAAGTGGCACATGGCAGCAGAGTGTGGCGATGGAGACAGCAGCAATGGGAGGCCGTACAGGGACCCATGAGAGACTCTGGACTTGGCAGCAGCATGAGGAGGCGGTATATAGGGGCCCATGGCAGATTAGGGGCCTGGCAGCAGCTATGTGAGGCCCGTAATCTGCCTGCACCCTATGTCAAAAAATTTAACACACCAGCAGTGTGAAGAGACCTGAAAGTGGCACATGGCAGCTAGAGTGTGAGTGTGTGGCGATGGAGACAGCAGCAATGGGAGGCCGTACAGGGACCCATGACAGACTCTGGACTTGGCAGCAGCATGAGGAGGCGGGTATATAGGGGCCCATGGCAGATTAGGGGCCTGGCAGCAGCTATGTGAGGCCCGTAATCTGCCTGCACCCTATGTCAAAAAATTAACACACAGCAGTGTGTGAGAGACCTGAAAGTGGCACATGGCAGCAGAGTGTGGGCGATGGAGACAGCAGCAATGGGAGGCCGTACAGGG